GAACAACATTTCGAAATTCCAAAAGGTAGACGTTCTTTTAAATTTTTTAAACACAACATTTAAGACATCTCCTATTGGCTATTATTTAAGACATTTTATGGGATCTCCCGCGGGAAGGTGCCATAAACATTGTGCCAAAATTAATACAATGGAAGGTATATTTTATCTATGTGTTATATACAAAGAGCAAATCCCTGTATAACTAGGTTGTACTAATGACATAACCCTATGTGACTTGTTTGTCAAATGATATGTAACTGTTTATTTTGTTATGCCTGTAACTGTTAGTACATGGGGTTTTTCTGTCGGTTGTCTTCCATTCGACCATAATGTTGTTGTTTTTTTTTTCAGATTTAGGACTTTATGTTCATTGGCGGTATTCTCGTAATTGTCCTATCTTCTCGTTGGTCACACACACACATGTGTATGAGTATTGAATTATTTATATGCACACATTTCTCATGTTATTTGTATTTACCTATTGTTGCCAAGTGACATTAAAAATAAATTTGCAGAGATGGTAAATTCCTAAAAGAAGTAAAATACTACACTATGCACTTTGTTTGGTCATAATTATAAACAATATATAAAGTATATACATATATTCTTGATCGGAATAATAATTCTATATCGATTTATGCATGTCCGTCTGTCTGTTGAAATCACAATAGAGCTCGCATTTTTTGAATCGAATTTTGAAATTTTCACATACATTGCTTTAATTCCTAGGGTGTTTTTGTATTGTATAACGAAACCCCAAAAATATAGTTTAGGAATTTTTGGCAAGATTTTCAACGAAGTGGGTGTAATAAGGTATTTTCCCACTGAAAATGTTCATTTTTGATCCAACTTTTTGGGGAGAATTTGGCATTCTGAATTAATTTATGAATATTATTCGGTATTTTGGGTATACATCACTGTAGTTTTGTATTTTTAATTAGCACTGGTTAGAACATATTCCTGTCGAGATTTATTAAAATTTGCTCACGTTTGTGGATAGCTCTTTTACAACGGTACCCTCATTGTCCAAATAAGAGTATGCGTTTTTAAACCGAATTTGTTCTAATTGGGTAAAAATTTTAATTCCCATACTTCCCCAAGGCATAAACCATCACATATATAAAAGACCGAACGATTACAGGTATTTTAAATGTTCATCTTCATTGTGGAGGGTAATTCGTGTGAAAGTCAGGGAATTGATCTCTGCCTTTTATTTATTTATTGATATAGACCTAGCACATTGAGAATAATAAAATTCTTATGAGGTAGTGCTAGTGGTACATGGAATAATTCAAGATTATATAATGGATAAATATATAATAAAGATAATAACAAAATATGCTTATTAATTATTACATGCAAAATATTTTTGTAATTCATTTTTGAAACGCAGGTTGCTGTTTATAATCTGTATATTCGGCGGAAGTTAATAACTATTCAAAATATATCAAAATCTACCACAAAAATGGTAAATTTGTCATGAAGCTAATTTCTCACTCTGTGGGTATGTTAATAAACAAAATTGTGGTATTTGGGGTTCTAAGTATTGGATTGGACCTTGTTTCTTCGAAAACGAGGATGGAACGACGGTCATCGTCAATCGGAGCATTATGATCATAATCTACTTCTTTTACCTGCTATTGAAGTACAGGTTGAGATGAACAAAGTACCACTCGTCCGACAGCTGTACAAAAGCATTTTGGTGAGAATTATCCAGAAAAAAACGTTTTTCGTTTGACTGGAAAACCACAAGTGACTATCGTTATCCAGTATTTAAATATGAACAAATCTCTTGTGCTTCGTAGCGTAGCCTGACGTCAAGGAAGTGGACGGAAGAGAACAGCAACATCAGCAAAAATGGTTCGTAAAGAAAAGATGCGACTTGATCGAAACCCGCGTCGCAGTGGCCGAAAAAAGGCTCGTGAGCTATATTCCATTCGGCAAATATTAAAAAATGAGCCATTGAAATTCCAAAAAGTGCAAGAACTTACACCCCAACAGATAGAAAATAGGCTCAAAAGAGCTAAAGAGTTGCTTCGCTTGGCCGAAATTGGTGAACTGACGAATTTGGTTTTCTCCGATGAGATGCCAAAGAGGTCAGCTTACTCAGCACCATCGCACTCAGCACGCGCCACCCAAGAATGGTTTCAAAATGAGATTCCTCACTTCATTTCCAGCGCACAGTGGCCACCAAAATCTCCGGATATCAATCCGTTGGACTATTGTGTCTGGAGTATTTTGGAAAGCAAGGTTGGCACTAAAAGTACAAAGGTGTCGATCACCTCAAGCAAACGCTTCGCGGGGAATGGGCCAAAATACCGTAGAGCAACATTCAATCAGCGTGTGACGGTTCATTGGCCGTTTGAAGGCCATAATCCGTGCCAAGGGTGAACAATTCGAACAAATCTATACTTATTCTAAAATTTGATGTTATTTCCGACATTTTTATGTTTTCATTCAATAAAATTTAAAAATAAATTAAAATCATGGCGTTTGACTTTGTTGCAGTTTTTTATCTCACCCTGTATACGACTTTGGGGATATGTGTGCGAAATTGCACCTGCGTTATCTGTTATTATACTAATACATCCTTTTTTAAGGGCAGATTTTTCTTGCATTACATCCGATCCGCCTGGTCCATACACAATTTGGTGTGCACGGAGGGGCTCATATATAAATTAAAACCTTTGTTCGCTTTTTAAAAACTTAATTCAGTACACCATGCTAATATTTAATATTAGTAGTGAATACAAGCAAACATTATACGCTCCATTCTATTCTCATTTCAATAAGCGCTCAAATATGCAAATCGACAAATCTGTGAATATTTGGTGCCACATTTACTTGGACTTGAACAAAAGCAATATGTAAAATCTAATATATATCTAAAAAGGCTTCGTTCTGTGGCCAATAGAATGGGATAATAATTCCGATATTATGCTTATAAGAATACATGGTCAAATAGGCAGAACCACGGACGACATGCATACATCAGCAATTATTGTTATATTCATAAAATTTAACTGATATTTAAAGTGGCCCTAGAGCAACTCAAAAAGAACGGTTCTTTTATATGGGAAGTATGCCAAATATGGATTTACATTATTATTTAAATTTTCTAAAAAAATCATGTTTAATTTAACATTTTTAGACATATTTGTGTAGACAAATTTGAAAATGAACAGATTGGATTGAATGGCTCTCATTTTGAAATTGCCCCAAATTCTTATACATCTCTTATCTATACATCTCTATTAACAAACTACCCCCTAAACTGTTCATTGGAGAAATTATGAATCTAGTAATTTTCTCATGTGTACTCACTTGTCTATCACAATCATTGAGTGTACCAAGTGATTTTCATCGGCCGACAGTGTTGCTGTCAAGATTTTGCATTTTTCCCATATCTAAGTTGGGGAGGATGTCATCGTATTATATGTAGTATGTTATCATTTTAACGTGAACATGCTATGTCAGTATATATAACGAACACAATGATGTCAAAGAAATATTCCCCCTTGTCATTGTACACAAACGCCAATTCAACCTAACATCAAATGGGGTATAAAAATAGACAAACATCTGAAGGACTTATCAGTGACCTGTTCTACCACATGTTTCTTATAGACTGTCAATTCTTTCCTGTCTGCCTGCTAATGGCATAAGTTGAATTCATAGCCATGTATACACAGCAAATCGGTAGAATATAGGAAATAATTTTTTATTTGCACTGTGCAACAAGATTTGATTGCGGGTGGTTGGTAATTCCTCTTTGAGATGAAAGTCCTTGGCGAGTATTTTAAAACCCCAGTTGGTCAAATTTGCCATAGAACATTTGTAAAATATGATTTCAATACAAATATAATCTTTGTAAAAAATAATTATTATATTATGTGAATAGTGTTCAGAAAGTGTTGCCTATGTCCGAATTCCTGAAATTTATAAATGCAAATCATAAAACTTTTAATTCTGGTTTCATGTCAGAGGAAGTGGAAAAATCGGCCGAAAATATATATGGGAGCTACATCTAAATTTGGACCGATTTTCAGGAAACTTAACACACATCTTTCTAGACCATTTACATTAAATCGGAAGAAAATATATATTGGAGCTATATCTAAATCCTAATTTCAATAGGGTTCGTCCTTGGTCCAAATAAGTGACCTATGCCAAATTTCATCCAATTCGGATCATAAATGCGACCTGTACTTTGTTCACAATTTAACATGGACAGACGGACGGACATGCATAAAACGACTTAAAAAGTGATTTATGCATATTCTCAAAAGGAACCATGTGTCTATCTCGTTTCCTTTTGCCTATTACAAACATATGCACAAAGACATAATACCCTGTACCACAGTGTGGTGAGGGGTATAATGAAATATGAAAGTATTCATTAAAAATTGTGTTCTGTGTATATGCCATAAGTGATGTAGGGTATAATTTGGTCTGCTCCGCTCGACTTTTGTCCTTTCCTTACTTCGTTTTTATTAAAACAAACGCCCAATTTTTAAAAATAATAATAATAATAATAATAAATAAAAATAAAAAATGCCTTAGGAAACGTTAAATTCTACAAAAATGTTGTGTGTGTGTATATTTTTATATTTAAAGCTTCGGGCATTGGTTTATGTCAACCAAACACACACACACACATATATATATATATATATAACATTCTTCTGATTTCGAAACAAAAAGAGATATAGAAAAAGTAGAACCACAGGAAAACAACATAAAACTACAAGTATGCCATAAATATAAGATTATTGTGTGTCAAATGGGTTTGGCTCGTTTATTTGCTCAGTTCATAGCAAATTCATATGATTTCATTTGTACAAATTGCATGCATTAATCATGTCAAAGAATTTATCTCAGTCCGAGTAGAGAAACATGCACGCACACCAGTTATACAGACGAACACTAATGCACGCATATTGGCAATACCCACATGTGTGTGTGTGTAGATGTAATAGTACACCATAATATTTACTTACCCGTTAGAAATGACAATCGACGCATAGCCGGAAATGGATGGTGGCCGGATGTGTCCAGAATATCTAATTGATAGACTTCATTACGGATGCGGTACAATTTCCGATGAAAATCCTCTATTGTCGGTGTATAGGCTTCTTCGAAGCGATTGCCAAGAAACCGGGCTATTATTGATGATTTGCCCGAACGTGAAGATCTGTAAAAAATGCGAATATTTCCATGTGATTACGTTTTTTACAAGTTATATTTTTGATAAAAATTTCGAAGTCTCAATCTTCATTAAGAGTAAAAAACTTTATCTGCGCTGCAATTGGAAAAGATAAAAAAATATTGTCATCGGTTAATAAAAGAGCTAGAGAAATATTGTCAATAGCTTTGCAATAATTTCAAATTGTATAATTTTTTCATATACTTTTTTCTTTGAAAAATATGTTTTTGCTATAATTTAATTGGAAAATCTTGTGATTACATATTACTTATATGTAATCACATATTTTCCCGAACGAAAGGATGAGATGTGTAAAAGAAGGATGTGTTCATTTTATATATATGTATATAGTATATCCAGTACACATGTTTGTGTGTTATTAACAATTCAAATCCAATCAACAGTTAATTAAATGTGGAAACGTGATTTAATGTACTTATCATTTTCGATAATCCTTCGGTTGATAGGGGCCAGGATATTAATAAATGGGCTGTGAAATTAATTAAGGCATGTCTATAATACCGTAGTAATTGCTTACAATTAAAGTCCGCAGATTGACTTTAGCATGGAAAAACTTTCGTTTAATTACTCCGCAAAAGTTTTACACATTCTATTTAATGATAAGACACTTGTAATAGTTGATTTCTTGGTACAATCCACAAAGACTACTCACTAGGTTTGATTGTATGAGCATAGACTATTTATTTTGGAAATAATGTTCATTTTCAATTTTTTTTCTACCATGAATACAATGTTGCCAATCTAATTAACGATATGAAGACAAATCAGCAAATGTTGTGTTGTGGGCCAGAATATTTTACGTGGATTGGATTAATTCACTGATGCTAATTAAATAATTTATTTATTAAAAGGGCTTTTTATTTACTACAAAGACATTTCCAAATTAAAACTAGTAAGGAAAGTAGTAAAGTCTGAATGGACCGAATATATCGACGCCTCCGAACCATAGTATGCTAAGTCGACTTAGCATGTTTTAAAGTTTTTTACGTTTTTATACCATAGACAGACGACAGCCTTAATTTGCATTAAAAAGTTCTTAATTTGAATTAATATTTACCCCTGACAGACGAGAGTTTCTGCATTTATGAACCAGTTTTTTTGTTTCAAAACTATTGTTTGTCTGTGTGTAGGATTGACATTTTCACAAATGTTTATAATATTTTTTGGGATTACATCTTTATGAAATAGATACATGACAGAACGGAAGAATAACAGCTAAAATTGTAGTAAAACAGCTCCCGATGTGAAAAAATTTTGGAAATTTGCCTTTATTTCTAGTATTTTTTTAATAAACGTAAATAAATTTGACAACAATCAATTTATTTTCTACAGCATTGCCATATTAGAATTGTTTAATTCAGTATGATTTTGTACATTTACGACACATAAAAATGAGGATAATGTACAAGTTAATTTGAATTAAGACTGTTAATGCAAATTAAGGCTGTCGTCTGTATAGGCTATTAGATACTACGGTCCTCAATTTAAATTCACTGAAATTTTGGTAATCATCGGTCAATCCAAACCAAAGTTATAAGCAAAAATGTACTTAGCATGACACGTACGATTAAAGAAACTTCCATACTTTGAAAGCTTCTACTTAAAAACTCACTTTTCAGACTTAGCATGCTATGGTTCGGAGGCGTCGATATATACCCCATGGTGGTGAAGGGTATCATCCACATGGGGTATATTCTACGTCGACATGAAATTGAACGAACTGAAATATGTGATCTTTATCTATAAGTGAACAGACTAACATCAATACATAAAATTTCATTCGGGCAGATTTAGAGTAGCTTGCGTGCAATGGGATAAATTTACGTAAATCGATTTAAGGGGACCCCCCATTCTCGGTGTCAACATTTTTTTATTTAATTCGAATATACTTGAATTATAGAACAATCCATACAAGATTTCAAAATAAAATCTGACGAACTCTTGAAGATATAGCCGATTTGTTGTGTCAGCATCAAGAGACGGCAAGAATGATTCTCGAACTTTAAACGCATTTTTCTCGAAGAATTTTTTTACGAATGGCGGGTACGATAACTCAAAAACTATATTTATAATTTTTTTGTGGAGAGATTTGGTACCTATTAAGAACTCGAAATACTAAATTGCAGCCAATTCGGTGGAACAATACGATTAAAACCCCCAAAATACTGAAAATTAGGAGGTACCTTTATATGGGGGCTACCAGAAAAAGTGGACCTATATTTATAATTTTTTGTGGGGACAATAAGAACCCAATGTACCAAATTTCAGCGTATTCGGTGGAAAAACGCGCCCAAGAACCTCAAAATACCGAAAATTGGGGGGGTACTGTTATATGGGAGCTATGTCTAAACGTGGACCGATATATCTCATCTTCGAACTTGACCTGCCTGCAGACAACCAAAGACAACCCTATGCAAAATTTCAGCATCATATCTCAATTCCTTCAGAAGATAGCGTGATTACAACAGACGGAACAGACGGACGGACATGGCTAGATCGTCTTAGAATTTTACCCTGATCAAGAATATATATACTTTATAGGGTCGGAAATGAATATTTAGATGAGTTACAAACGGAATGACAAAATGAATATACCCTCCATACTACGGTGGAGGGTATAAAAATCGGGAATGGGGGGAGGCGGGGGTTCCCTTAAAGCAAACATGATACTACTATTCAAAATATAATATCTATCAGTCACCCGTTCGAAATATATATGGAAGCTATGTCTGCATTTGTACAAATTTTAACCAAACGCAATAACGGCATTCTAGTCTCAATTTGATACGTTGTGCAATATTTCGTGTCAATCGGACAAATATTAAGAGTTTGGTGCACCATTTGCCAAAAAACGGACGAAAATATATATGACAGGTATATCTAAATCTAAATCGATTTCAACGAAACTTGTCAGAGATTAATTTATATTAACTTCAGTACATTGTACAAAATTGAGTGTCAATCGTACGAACTTTGGGTCTATAGGGCACAATTTACATAAAATCGGAAGAAATTAGCTCCCATATATGTGAGAGCTATATCCAAATCTGAACCGATTTTCACGAATCATCACCCGTCATTCTAGACTCAATTCAGTATGATATGCCAAATTTCGTGCAAATCGAAGGATATATAGGGACTTTGGTGCACAATTTACATAAAATCGGAAGAAAATATATATGGCAGTATATCTAAATCTGAACCCATTAGTACCCATCACTCTACGCTCAATTCACTACTGTGTGCCAAATTTCGTGCAAATCGAAGGATATATAGGGATTTTGGTGCACAATTTACATAAAATCGGACGAATATATAAATCTAAACCTCTATTTAAATCTAAACCGACTTTCTCCAATTTTGATAGGGTTCGTCCTTGCGCCAAACTTCGTCTCATTTCGACCATAAATGCGACCTGCACTTTGTTTACAACAGACAGACTAATTCTATGCACATCCTCAAAGTAACCATAGGTCCCGCTTCTTCCAGCGTGTTACAAACTTATGCACAAAGACATAATACAAGACAAACACGACAACATTTTGTCAACTTATTTTCTTCTTCTTTAAAAAATACGTATATTTTTCATTACAATAAGTTTAGTCATATTACTTTTATAATGTTAAGTAAAGTATTTGTTTTAAAATTAGTAATGCTATTGTCGAAAATCTCATTTAGCGTTACTTATCTGCAGAAGTAGTAATAAGACTTCATAAACAGAAAATTTTAAACACAGCTACGGATGGTTATTGTAACATTGTTATCTTCTTCACAACAAATCTAATGTGCGCACATAATTACTCTCATTAGCGCACATATGCGCCATAGATGTTGAAATAGAATTCCAGATTCATATCAAGAAATTGAGTGTTAAGTAGAGTGTTGTGTATGGTGCACTAGCACTGCTGTGGATCCGATTAGCCGTGCAATTATGTTCTTTAATTGGAAATGCTGTTGTTTTTATTTTCAATTTCCTACGACTATAGAGCACAATGCGGACATGTTATAAAAACTGAGAGAAACAACGTCTTTAAATGGTACATGTAGCCAATACATAACGGCACGTGTTGAAAAAAACTGTTGAAAAGTAATAAACGGTAGAATATAACAATGAATGTGTCTCTCAACTTATTTCAATTTGTAGTGTTTATACCCTCCACCACACTGTGGTACAGGGTATTATGAAAAAACTCGGTGTTGCAAACATAAATTTACTGTGAAAAAAATTCATTTCGGGGGGGGCCCGGGCCCCCCGGGCCGCCCCCCTGCGTACGTCCCTGGTACAGGGTATTATGTCTTTGTGCGTATGTTTGTAACATGCAAATGGAAACGAGATTGACACATTGTTCCTTTTGAGAATATGCATAGAATCACTTTCTGAGTCGATTTATGCATGTCCGTTCGTCCGTCTGTCCATGTTATATTGTAAACAAAGTACAGGTCGCATTTATGATCCGAATTGGATGAAATTTGGCACAGGTCACTTATTCGGCCCAAGAACCCTATTGTAATTAGGAAAAATCGGTTCAGATTTAGATATAGCTCCCATATATATCCTTCGATTTGCACGAAATTTGGCACTGCGTTCTGGATTAAGTCTAGAATGATGTGTGTTAAGTTTCCTGAAAATCGGTCCAGATTTAGATATAGCTCCCATATATATATATATATATATATATTCGACCGATTTGATGTTAATGGTGTACCAAAGTCCCTATATATCTTTCGTATTGCACGAAATTTGACATGCCGGATTTGATGGCTAAACTACACAACGCACGCATATGTGATCCGTTACTAAGATGCAGAAACCCCCATGGGCAATATGGTTCTAATGTATGATTTTTCGATATAATCACTGCATCCACCCAAAACGGATGCTGACATTTTGAAGCCGGATTTTCGGTGTTTTTAAAATTTTTCTTATAATGGGGATTGTAGAACTCGTGATTTTGCTTCGTTTAGTGTATATCTCATGAATGTGTTCACCGTAACTTCTTTGCAATTGGATTCCAAAGATGAAAATTTGTTGCGTAAATTTTTATAAAAAATCCAGTTTTTATACCCTACACAACTATGTTGTCAGGGTATTATAGCTTTGTGCAGCCCCAAGAGTTTGTAACGCCGCGAAATATTGGTCCTAGACCCACCTTTAAGTATACCGATCATATCATATCTCGACTAGCTGAGTCGATCTAGACATGTGTGTCCGTCCGTCCGTCTGTCCGTCTGCCCATTATAATTTGTAAACACGATACAGGCCACAGTTATGGACCAATCTTCACGAACTTTTGCATATATGATGGGTTCTGGCCAATGAAGACCCCTATTGTTTTTGGTAAAGATCGGTTAATATTTAGGGGATGAAATGGAACAAATACTTTATTTTTGTCGGATTTTCTGGTCGCTCCAGAGGCCGCAATTGTGGCTCGAACATCGTGAAATTTTTCATGGAGAAGGGGATCGGGTCAAACTATAAGCATGCCTGTTTTGATAAAGATCGGTCGATATTTAGCGAGTCAAATGGACCCTTACTTTTGGGAGAAAAATTACAAAAATTGTATTCTATGGCGTATATATCTACTCCTGAAGGACATAGACCCAAGAAGTTGTTAGTATAACCAAAAGGTGTGGTTGACCTTTAAATTTATACCAATTTTATTGTTGTATGAAGTCGGATGTGGGAGTTACACTTAAATATTTAGAGGTGTTCACGTATTCAGATATTATTTAGTAACCCATTACCACCCTAGAGGGCGGAAATATTGCGCTGATCGCTTTGAAATTTTCCATGAGGTTCCAGTTGTGGCCAAGGACAACACCTACACTTTTCGGTGATGATCCGATAATAATTTTGGGATGAAGTGGACCGAAAACTATATATTCGGAAATATTCGGATAATATGTCCTTGTAAGGAAGAGGCGCTGTTGACCTCTAGGCAAGAGGATACATCTATCAAGAAATATTACTCAGGCTCGGAATAAAAATCCGCAGAAAGTTAGAGTTCCGTGGTAGTTGTGTAGGGTATCGTATGGTCGGCCCCGTCTAACTATACTGCTCCGCTCACTGGTTTTGTCTAAATTTAAGATGGTCCACTCAAATGCCGTTGAACACCGTGTGATTTTATGTTCATGTTCAATTCCGCCCAATAAAAACAGCAAAAATATATTTTGACAAATTCGCTTATATAAGTTTTTCTTCGATTTGTTTTTACATACATTAATGTTTGTATTATCATATTCGCGAAACTGTGTGAGTAGCTAATCCAAAATTGATTGTGGATTTAAAAATCGTATGCACTTGTGTCATTTTTAGCCATTTCTGGCGTTTTTGCAAAGTGCATTGAGCGGCACACCAGGTTTAAAATCGCTATAACTTTTGTGCGCAGCATCCGAATTTGTCAACGCGAAGCGATTTCGAATCAGCATATTTTTCTTAACCTATGTACCAAAAATGTGCTCGCAAAAAAAATTTAATTTTTTTATGGAGTATTAAAAGAATTTTGTAATTTCCCATATAACCTCCCGTATATGATCGGAAATAAAAACGTTTTGTATCATTCAAATAATTTAATAAGGTACCAATGTTGAAGATGTTACATGTACCAATGTTGAAGATGTTACTAAAAATACAGTAAGAGAAGTAGTAAAGTCGGACTGGACCGACTATATGATACCCTTCACCAAGTTGTATCCTAACGAACTTTTACATGCAATATTTATCTATAAGTGAACAGACTAACATCAATCCATACACATGCCTTTCTGCAGCCTATTCTAAATTGCATTTCACTCGGGCAGATTTCGAGCTTTTTGCGCACCATAGGGCAAATCGAATTAAAACAAACTTGATACACGTCATTCGGAATGCTGCACTGCTCAAAATTTAATCCCAATCGGACACCCGTTCGAAGTAAATATGGAAGTTATGTCTGCACCTGCACCACATTCAACAAAACGCAATAACGTCTATCTAGTCTCAATTTGATACGTTGTCAATCGGACAAACATTAGGAGTTGGGTGCCCTTCAGTACATTGTAAACAACAAATTTGTGTTAATCGGGCAAACTTTGTGTCTTTGGTGCAAATCGGAAGAAAATATATATGGAAGCTATCTCTCGCGATGCCAAGTTTCGTGTAAATCGAAAGATATATAGCGACTTTGGTGAACTATTAACAAAAAATCGGAAGAAAATATATAAGGGCATTATATCTAATTCTGAACCGATTTTTACGAAACTTAACACACAACTTAATTCAATACGCTGCGCACAATTTCGTCAAATCGAAAGATATATAGGGACTTTGATGAACCATGTGCATTAAATCGGACGAAAATATATATGGGGGCTATATCTAAATCTGAACCGATTTTCACGAAACCTAACACACATCATTCGACTCAATTCAGTACGCTGTGCCAAATTCCATGCAAATCGAAAGATATATAGGGAGCTGTGCCAAGGTTCATCCAAATCGATTTATAAATGCAACCTGTACTTTGTTTAGAATTTAACACTAACACACGGACGGACATGCATTAATCGACTCAGAAAGTGATTCTATGCATATTCTCAAAAGTAACCATGTGTCTATTCCATTTCCTTTTGCATGTTACAAACATATGCACAAAGATTATGTCTCTGTACCGCAGTGTGGTGAAGGATATTAAAAGTAAGCTATATTTTACTTTTGGTTAAAGAGACGTCTCCAAAATACCCAATAGTGGAGATACCGTTATATGGTGGCTACCGTAAGAAGTTGATGAATATTGATAACTTTTTGGTAGGAATATGAGTCACCCAATGAAAATCCAACATACCAAATTACAGCCAATTTGATGTAAAAGGTTTTTCACACCCGATAATGGGGAGTACCGTTTTATGGGAGCTATACGATCATTTTTGGTAGGGAGATTTGCTACCCAATGGAAGCTCAAAGTACAAAGCTCCAGTCAATTCTGTTAAAACGTGTCAAACATTTCCAAAATACCGAATATTTGGTGGGGGCCGTTATATTTTCAAAACCAAACATTCTTGGAGTAATTGTAATGCATGTGCAAAATTTCAAGGCTCTATCTTAAATAATTCCATATCTAAAGTGATTTCAACATAGGGGAGAGGGGGGCACCTTTGAACACTTTTTGCTTTCAAGCCTTATAACATTTTTTATTTTATAATTTTTGGTTTCTTATAAATTTTAACTAATAGGTACATATGTAACCTTCAAAATGAATATACATATGACATACTATAAGCTTGATAAATGTATTTTAGTACTGTTTTAATGGACGAGCCCCCCTGGGGGGTAGTTTTGAACAGGAGTTGGCATTTTTGAACGACATGGTTTTTTACAGTGTTTATGTTCAAATATGTATGTATTTTATTCATACATATCAGAAATGCATTAATTCATTAAAAAATATATAAAAAATGTTCAAAATTTAAAAAATTTAGATCAAAAGTTATTAAAACATAAAATGACTTAAAAACAAAAATTAATATGGTGAAAAATACAGTTAATTTCGTAATCATATTAGCCCATTTGAAATTTTGAGAAATCGAAGCCAAAAGTTAAAAACTCCTTTTTTATTCGAGTTTAATGGGCATGTTCAAAGGTGCCCCACCCATGGCATTTTACGGAAATTTAAAATAACTTTTTTTGTAATAAATATATATGAAAGAAATTACATTAGTTATGTTTCAAATGATTGTTGGAATGCAAAAAATTTGTTTGACGAAAGAAAACTATCACAGAATTCTTCCTGCGCCCTTAGAACCAAATGAATAAAAGTTTACAATTACACTGAGAAAACATGGTCACCCATGCACAATTTTTCGACAACTGAAAAAGCAAGCCAAAGTGGTTTACGCATATAGAGAACAAGATTGCCATATACAAAAAATGTGGTCGCGGGTCGGAAAAATATTAAACCAAGATTTTATGAGCACTGTTCAAAGCTGCCCCACGTTCAAAGGTGCCCCCCTCTCCCCTACATATATTTCGGAGAATATTTCGACAAATTTAATATACACTCCACTATATAGTGGACATCTAACAACATAGTGTCACACTTATCAAACCACGAAATGGGTATTGGAGACACTCATGTTGGAAACTGTGATAGGAACAAAAATCAATTCCGATAAACTTAAGAAAAATATTTTTTGGTACTTTATGATCCCACAAAAATTTCTACCGGTCGGTTCATTCGTTTTGAGCTACAGTGATATGTGCTGCATTAAAAGTTGTGCTAACACCTACCGAATATCAGCGTGTACCTATATATGGGGGCAACCATGGAAAGTGGACCGATATATAAAATTTCAATACCAAAGAAGCAATGAATGTGTAACATTTCAAAGGTCATAGAATACTATATATACATAATAGGGTCTCAATGGGTCTCAAAGTTTGATAGTTGTCTTGTAAAAAAATTAAGGACATTTTGTTCTCAACGAGGGAGCATAAATCCTTAATATTATTAAACTACTTACCCTAACATAACTAGCCGGTAACAATTTTTCGAACCTGGCAATGTATCATCACATAAGAGGGATGAACTAACCACTTGACTGGCTATGAAATCATCATCGAGGACATCTAAATCGTCAGCCGTATGGTGGTCGTGGGTGTTTTGATGCTGATGCAGATCGGCGTGGTTCATTAAACGTGTCGTTGTGTTGACAACGCCATTACTGCCACTGGGCACATCGTCCAGAAATGTTACAACATGTGATCCCCCAACACCAGTTGTTGTACCGGACGTACCGACACATCCACCACCACTAGAATTGTTCATTGTGTGATTTGTTGTTGTGGCTGTCGCAGTGTTGTTGGCAGTAGCTATTGTGTGATTGCCAATGTGGCCCGTTGCGGTAGTAACTTTGCCATTAATCTGCTGATGCTGTCGGTCGGGCGTTACAGCACTTGTCGTTGGTGGGGTGGTTGTCGTTATAGTTTGTTGTTGTTGTGTGGTATTTTTATTGGAATCGCCGAAAAAAACTTCAGTGTAGTCATTGTTGTTGTTCCGAGCACAAAACCAATTTTTGCAACGTATCATATTGGCATTCATGTTGGCAAAAATTTGTTACTAGTCAAGCGTTGATAAAATTGGCTTGTTAAGCTTCAGTGGCTTTGGACACCGGGATAAGGTATGCGTTGCTATGCGTACAACGCAATCCTAGCCTCAAATGTAATAACCGATATTACATTTGGCGATGTGCGAAGGAATGCATAGTATGTTTTTTATTTATGAAATTACCATCTGCTATGTTGACTGTGTGTTAGTTAGATTCCGTTTCCGTATTTCTTTTTTTTATAGAATTGCTTCGTAAATATTGTTAACTAGTTTTCCTTAACACATCGTCCCCATTTTAGTTGAGACTCGTATGGACTTTATGGCATAACCGTTATATTTCAGTCAAGCATTTCCTTTTGGCTGTTGTTGTTATTGCAATCGACATATCTAGTTTTTGTCGTATTCTTGTTGCTTCGAAATTCCTCTTTGATTAAAGGACGTTGTACGCTCCTCTCCATTCACAACTTGTGCTGTATGCCTCGTGTGGTTGTCATTTTATATCGAAGTGATGTGGAATTAATTGCCAGTGCTATTGTCCTAGGAGAACTTGCCATCAAATTGTCTATGTGCGGTATATGGTTTTTGCATGTGTGTTTTGTGTTTGTGTGTACATTTGTTTATGGAGTACGACGGATACGTATGTTATAAACGGTTTGGTTTCAATATCGACCGTTGTGGTTACTATCGGTGGTTACCATTTGTGGCATTTGATTGCTTAACAATGTTTAGTAGTCACAGCACTGGATGTTGGTCCTTAGTCGAAACCAATTGAACTGAAAGATATATGAAGTAAACGTTAATATTATGTTGGCCGAAGCTAAAAAAGACATTAAATATTAAAATAGAAAATTGGTTTCCTAAACACTGTTCGTTTTATTCATTACAAGAAATCGATAGCAGATTGTACTGCGAATGCTCATCAAGGACAGAAATAATTAAGTTAAAAGAAAGCATTTTGGGGATATAAGTTACTGTAAAATTCTGAAAGCTGTAGAAAAATGTATACTAACGCATCAATTGAGAACGGCTGGACCGATTTGATTCAAAATTGTTTTCAGTTGTCGGTAATTACAGTGGGAAGGTTTTTATGAAATAAAATTTTGAGAAAAATCCGCGAAAATTATTTTAAAGAAACGGCTGGGCCGATTTGACTTAAAGTTTCTGTTAGTAGTCTGTAATTGAAGTGGAAAGATTTTAGTGAAAGAACATTTTAAGAAAAATCCGCGAAAATGTTGCAAAATATATTTTGAAAGATATTAGCATTTCCACACATTTTATATCGAATCTTTATGGTTTCATCTCTTCGGAGTTCTTTTTGGATATATTTTGGACGAAAATGGGCAGCGTATATCTTTAAGAAATTGAAATTTATGGATAATTCTCAAAATATGTTAATTTTCTACAATTAATTGGATTACCATTGCCTTGAAAAAACTATTGTCTATGAAAATCTATATACATATGTATGTATATGTATATAAAAATGAATTGTTCGTTAGTCTCGCTAAAACTCGAGAAAGGCGGAGGGGATATTTCTTATCTTAGTCTTGAAATGTTCGTGGAGCTTCAGGAAAAAACCGAAAAAAAATTGCAAAAGAATATTATGAAGCATATTTGCATTTCCACCAATTTGGTATCGATGTATTTTGGTAGCACCACATCGTAGTTGTTATTTTGAAATATTTTGGGCGAAAATTAGTAGCGTATCATTCCTTTAAGCCTACATTTGCCACTTATTGAAAATTTTCAAAATATTTAATTTTTTCAATTGTATTGACATTGTATTGAAAATTTTTTATGTGAGAATACAAAAAATAATTGAAAATTTTATAATTGAATTTACACGCGGTCATTCTATGCACACGTTTTCCATAGAATGCAAGTAAAATTTTGGGTAAAACAAGGATGGAAAATCAACCATTATATGGTGGTTATATGTCTAATCGTTTGTCAATATCTTTGAACTTATAAACAGAACACCTCGCATATATCCGATACCAAAAATGTGTAACAGTAAGCTCAATTAGAAACTTATCAAAACTTGGACATAAATAGAGTATTTTTCGCCAAAATGTGTCTTAATCCCCAATATACCGCAATGAAATATTACAGCTACTACAATGGGAATGAAGATATATTAGTTTTTTTGTAGGAAGATTAATGGGGGATATCATTATATTGGTCCTACCCGGAAACTTGGAAAAATATTTATAATTTTTTGTAAGGAGATTTTGTATTCAATGATCATCTAAAATATAAAATTACAGCCTATTTGGTTGAAATAAGTGACCAAACTCCCCAAAATACTGAATATTGTAGGTACTGTTAGGTGCAACCCCACAAAGGTGGACTAATATTAATAATTTTTAGTAGGATTCATGCTACCAAATAAAAAAACCAACTACAGCTGATTAGGTTGAAAAACGTGCCTAAATCCCCAAAGGAGGCTTCTTGAAATTTTTGCTTCGAACATTTTCTACTCGATGATCATCCAAAATATAAAATTACAGCCAAAGAAGTAGTGATTATATTAAATTAGAAGAATGCTGTTAAAGACCGTGTTTAAGATCTTCAAAATACCGAATATTGAGGGCTACCATGGGCCAATATTAATATATTGGGAAAGGTAATTAAATCCGAAAGTCAAACTTATATGTGCATTTAAATTTATTTAATTTAATTTTTTTTTTCAAAAATGGCAGCAAGACTCGCTCATAAACATCAAGTTGTAGATGTTTAGTACTTTTATGTTACTTTATGCGTGCTCTGATAAATACCAAAATATTACAAAGAGCAGTACACTATACATTATGGTGTAGGTAAAAAAAAAACAAATCTAAAATGCCGAACATTTTACACCAACAAAATTGCTAGGCAAGACAACTCTGAATTTTATGAATGTAATTCTCAGAACTTAAAATAAAGGTTTCTTGTCAGAGAGAGAGAGAGATATCTCTATGGCACAGACATTTTTGTCGTTTTAATTTTTTCTATTTTACATTTATGTTTTCTTCTAACTCGTTATGTTTTGTCTCGTTTCTCCTTTTTATACCCTTCACCACACTGTGGTACAGGGTATTATATCTTTGGGCATATGTTTGTAACAGGCAAAAGAAAACGAGATTGATACAGATACAGATTTAGATATAGCTCCCATATATATTTTCGTCCGATTTAAGGTAAATGGTGCCCCAAAGTCCCTAAATATCTTTTGATTTGCACGAAATTTGGTATAGCGTACTCAACATAGTCTAGAATGATGTGTGTTAAGTTTCGTGAAAATCGGTTCCGATTTAGATATAGCTCCCATATATTTTTTCGTCCGATTTAAGGAATATAGTGTACCAAAGTCCCTAAATATCTTTGGATTTGTACGAAATTTGGCATATCGAACTGAATAAAGTTTAGAATAATGTATGTTAAGTTTCGTGAAGATCGGTTCCGATTTAGATATAGCTCCCATATATACTTTCGTCCGATTTTAGATAAATGGTGCACCAGAGTTCCTATATATCTTTCGATTTGCACGAATTTGGCACAGCATAATGAATTGGGTCTAGAATGATGTGTGTTAAGTTTCCTCAAAATCGGTTTAGATTTAGATATAGCTCCCATATATATTTTCGTCCGATTTAAGGAAAATGGCGTACCAAAGTCCCTATATATCTTTCGATTTCCACGAAATTTGGTACAGCGTACTGAATAAAGTCTACAATGTATGTGTTAAGTTTCGTGAAAATCGGTTTAGATTCAGATATAGCTCCGATATATATTTTCGTCCGATTTTAGGTAAATGGTGCACCAGAGTCCCTATATATCTTTCGTAATGAACTTAGTATAACTAACCTATAAGTTAGATATAAATGCTGCACCGAATTCCCCAGTTGGCACAAAATTTTGCACAACCTATAGAAGTTATTATGAGATAACGTTAGTTCAGATTTAGGTATAGTTCCTATATATAGTTTCGTCAGATTTTAAGTAAAATTTGCACCAAAGACCCAATGTTATATTTTATATAACCTAGCATGTGGAAAGTTTTATTGAAATCGATTCAAATTTGGATAGAGCTTCCATATTTTATCCCGATTTTAACTAAATGATGCACCAAGAACTCAAAATGTGGCCGATATTCTGTGACAAGTTTCGATGAAATTGGCTTAGATTTCGATATAGCTTTTATAAATATTTTCGTCCGATTTGAAGTAAATGGTGCACCAATCTCCTCATGTTTATCAGATATGTATCAACGGGTATCCGACTGATATATGCTTTAAATTGATTTACATAATTATGTCCCATTGTAAGAAGCAACTCTATATCTGACCGAATGAAAAATTTAGTATAGGTTGCAGAAAGATATTCTTATAGGTCCAATTTCATTTTACTGATCTATCAAACATGCGACGTCTGCTAAGATTCATATGTTGAATATACCCAAAGTGGTGAAGGGTATCATATATGGGAAAAATATTGGCTTTCTCGTGATTCTAGGATTTTTTACTTGTATTTAGAGGGAGGAACATATACAAAAATTAACTATTAATGAAATTATGAGAATATTCAATAACATTTTTTTCTGTGGATTTGGATATTTTCGTCCAATTTTAGATTACTGTCTTCTCTTCTCTCGCGACGTCAAGTGCACAATGATTCGTACTGTCTTGCCAAATTTTCAAAATTCTCCGAATATTTCGTAACCACTACATGAATCGTTATATAATTATAATATTGGCTATGAAAAGTAATTACTAATATTGGTCCACTTTTATGATTCTTTTAGAATCCGAAATGTAAAAGACTAACGACATAAAAATGATTTCGCTTTATATGATCTATCGGCTTAAAAATTCGTCTTAAAGTGTTTTGACCGACATCCAATTTTTATATTTGGATTGTTTGCTATTTCTCGCTCACATATTTTTAGAATACACTTGTTAAAGCTTGACTACTTGAGCAAGAATTACCTAATGACGCATCCAATTGAACATCCA